GGTTCACATCCCAGATTTCAGAGGGAGAATCTTCTTTTCCAGGTTCTAAAAGGCTAAGGAAGAAATGAAGGAGATCTAACTATTATGTCCCTTTGTCTCTTCATCAAGTGTCTCCTTCAGTAACAGCTATATTTTGTGGGTTCCAGTTTCCATATTTGAGTCCTTCATGATTGATTCTTAGTGACCCCAGTCCCCTAAGTGGATCAGTCTCTTCTCTGTGTCCTTCAGTTGACTGTTGCTCTGGCTAATCTCTGGACCACCTCACAATCCCATCCCATATGGCACTCCAATCAAATTTAGCCTTTTTGTTTTCATTGTTTTGGTTTTGGGGCCATACCTGGCTGTGCTCAGGGATCACTCCTGGTTGTGCTTGGGGAACCATAGCAAGTGCCAGGGATCTAACCCAGGCAGCTGTGTACAAAGCAAGGGCCGTAACTCCAGTCTCTCCAGCCCAGTTTCATCATTGTAAAGCCATACCCACTTGAGAAGATCTTTAAGCTTTTCACTTTGTTATCTATTCAGCAGTCTTTAAAATTTCATCTTATCAATTAACTACAACTTGTACTTGTAACTTTAATACTGCAATCAATCCTCTGCATTAAATTCCTTCTGTTTGTTTTAATCCAGTTCAAGGATGCTCAGAGATTATTGGTAGTTCTCAGGGACACTGGGATCATCATTCCTGGTAGTTCTAAGAGGATCATGTGATGTTAAGGAATGAACTCAGCTCTCTCACATCCAAAATACGCACTTCAGCCCACAGAGCCTGCTGGGATGGACTTTTTTTTTTTAAATGATGAGGGAACAGAGGTTAAATCTCTATCTGAGATTTGATTGTTTGAAGGTTTATAGCCAACGGTACTCAGGGCTTTCTCTCACCTCTGCATTCAGAGATCACTCCCGGCAGTGTTCAGTAGGCCATAGATGGTGCTGGGAATCAACCTGGTTGACTCCTTGCAAGACAAGCACCCTACCCTCTGTACTATTGCTCCCACCCAACAGTATCAAAGATACGAACTAGTGGAACTTGACTTTAAACTCAGGTCTGATCAATTCTGAGCCATGTATCCAATCTTCTAGATCAGCCTGCACAAAGTTTATTTCCTTATGTATAACCCTTTTATATGCTGGAAAAGAAAAACTCATAATAGCCTTCTCCAGCATTTTCTATCATTAAATGTTCTCTGCCCCTTCAATGGATGTTCTCAGGAAAGAATTTCTTTTTCAATTTCCCTGAATATCATGGTTGGATCATCTGAAGGATTTACTGCTTCTCCAACTATAATGTAAAGATTGTGAAGATTGTGAATTGAGATGATCCCGGAGTCAACAATAAAATTTCTTATATTAAAGAAGATGGGGTATAATTCTAGGTTCACATAGAGTTGCAACAAATAATCCCATGTTCTTTTAACCAGCTTTCCCAGTGGCGCCAACCTGCAGATCTGTAGTATAAAACCACAAAGAGGATATTAACTTTGATTCAACCGAGGTATTGAACGCTGCTGTAATTTTGAGGATCCACAGTTGTTCTTTTTTAGTTACATTCACCCCTCCTTGAGCCCTAGCCCCCCCAGAGTCACTCATTTGCTTCCCATTCTATAATGTTGACATTTACAAAATGTTGCATAAATAAATAAAATAGGCAACCTTTGGGGATCGAGTTTTAACATTCAGTATAATTTTCAGATGATTCCCAGTTTGTTACGTGAGCAGAGTTCATGGTCCCTTTTTCTTGCTGAGCAGTGTTCCACGGTATAGATTAACTACCGTTTGTTTAAACATTCACTCACTGAGAGAAACTTGGGTGGTTTCCAGTTTGGGTCTATTAACAATAAAGTAGCTTTGTGTATCTGTGAAGATAAATGTATGTTTTAGGGTGAGACCCAGCAGTCTTCAGGGTTTACAGCTAGCTCTGCACTCAAAGATCACGCCTGTTGGTGTTTGAGGAGCCATATGTTGGTGTTAGGGATTAAATTCAGCCTGGCTATGTGCAAGGCCAGCACCGTAACCTCTGCGCTCTCCTCCAGCACTCTCTGTACATAATTTTTTCTTGTTTATGAGCATAAACTTTTATTACTCTGGGATAAATGCCTATCAGTAGTACAACTATTTTGCTGTATGGTAGTAGTATACTTAGATTTTTTTTTAAATAAACTCCTTATTTATTTTCATCCACGGCTGTTTCATCTTACATTTCTACCAGCGATGTGTTGGTGATCCATATTCTCTATGTCTGTTGACATTTAGTCCAGTTATAATTTTTTATTTTACCTACTCTGATAGATGTGGCAGTATCTCACTGTGGTTTCTTTGCAAGGGGCCACTCCCAGGTGGTGCTCAGGGGACCTGAAGGTCACTTCTGGTGATTCTAGGCCAACAGGGCTGGTGGTTCATGCAAAAGTCTGAGGAGATGGTGCTCTTTGGGCCCTCTGGTGCCTGGGGGCTTACAGGGCTATAAGAGGATATTCTCTACAGATCATACTGTGTTGGAAATCGAATCACTGAGTCACATGCTAGGCATTGCCCTTTACCCCTTTTCTATATCCCTGGCCCCTCTCACTGTGGGTTTTCTTGCTTTTTTTTTTTAATTCGGTTTTTTTGGGCCATGCCCAGCAGTGTTCAGAGCTTGCCATATGATGTTTTGGGGGCCGTATCTGGTTCTAGGGATTCAAACCAGTGATGGCGGGATGCAAGTAAACACCTTCACTCCTGTAGTAACCTTAGTGTACATTTCGCTAGTGATTAATAACTCTGAATATCTTTTTATGTGTTTAATTTGCGGGTAGGGCGTTCGCCTTACACGCAGCCAACATGGCCGACCCGAGTTCGATTCCTCCGCCCCTCTCGGAGAGCCCGGCAAGCTACCGAGAGTATTCGATATGCCAGACACAGTAACAACAAAGTCTCCAATGGAGACGTTACTGGGCCCGCTCAAGCAAATCGATGAACAATGGGAGGGCCTTTACCTTTACATTTACCAATATATATTATTTGGCACAATATCTTTTCAGGTCTTTGTTTATATTCTAAATGGATTATTTCCTTATTCATTGACATTCTGGATGCTAGTCACAAAAGAAAAGGTGAAAGAAGGGGATGAAGGAAGTCCGGTAGGAAGAAGTGGTGTGATCATAGCCACAGATGAAAAACTCACCAAGTGATGAGAAAGGAAGGTAAGGAAAGATGGAAGAGAGAGATAAGTTACATTTTGTGTTAGTTGGTCTTGATTTTCCTGGGAAAATAGGACACATAAGAGAGGTAAAGCTGGAGAAGGGACTGAATACGTGGGTAGAGACATGGTACATAGTTTTTAGAAATGAAAAAGCAAGATGGATGCCAGGGCCATAGAATATTTCCCAACCACACAAGCACCCCTCCGAGAGGGCAAAGCAAACATTTGCTATGATGCTAATAGGAATTATTTTCTTTTCAAAGGTACTTAGCCTGTACTCAGGAAAGCAGGTGGGTGAGGTTTGGTGTGGTATTAGGGTTAAGCCTTTGGAGTGCTGGGAGGGCAACAGAAGATTCTAGTAAGGAACTAGTGCTGTGTAGTTAGAATAATCAGGCCCTATAGAAAAAAGGGAGTATAGGATGAGAGAGATAAATGGGGTGAGCTGGACAGTGTAAGAGGCCTCCCATTTCAGAGGCCTTGGAGACCATCATTTCTGTTGTTCAAGGAATGATAGAAGTGGGATAGAAGGTTAGGGTTGAAGTAGGCTATCCAGAAATGAGTGATGAGTTCATATGGGCTCTCACTGTGAGAGGTTCTGGGAACGGAGAGGAATGAAGTCACAGCTGATGCCCTTCAGGAGTTCACAGTCCCAATTTCAGAGGTAGCACCTTACTTTCTGGGTGGTGACAGGGCCAGGGTATATCCCGGAAGCAGTTTGCCGAAAGGTTGGCAAAGGTTGGCAAAGGCTCGTGTGCCTCATCCACCTATTTCTCAATGCTGCAGGAAGCCCTGGGCTTTCTCTCTGTTGAGTCATTTCTCCAGGGTCACGTATATCCTCTACCCTTCTGTGATATGGAAACGGTTTTTCCATTCAAGGGTTTGTCTTGCAAATGTGGCCACACTGGGGTCAGCCCTTGGGGAGTGTGGAGAGGAGGCAAGCATGTTTTGAAGACTTGCTTCTCACCGGTGAGTCTCCAAAGATCTTTTCCTCACAAGGAAGTAACCTGCCCTCCAGTTTCCTTCCCTCTTGCCCTTACTCTCTTCCCTATGAGTGAAAGTGGGAAGAAGCCACAAATGTGTGAAGCAGAGAAAACTGAAACAGGTACAAAGACCTCAGTGGGTGCTGGAGGACTTAGCAGGAAGCAAAGACTTCAGATGAATGTGTGAATGTGCACGGCGGCTGGGTGCACCCTAAACTTGGTGGCTCCGTCTTCATTCTTCCTGCATGCTTGTAGATGAAGCTCGTAACCTAATGGTCCACACGGGAACAAGGCCTTTCAGGAGCCTTCCAGGACCTTCTCTACTGGACTTGTGCATAGGCCTGATGGTTTCTAGATAGAAGGCACAGACTGTGGGAATCCGCATAACAGCATTTCCAGATTAGAGCCGTAGGGAATTTCATTCATGGTGCATCTGGGCGTTGCTGTCTGGAACCAACTTCCCTCCCTTCCTGTTCCAAAGAGGCCAGGCATGCAAACTTGACTCTAGAGAGCCATGTGGACACATCCCGCTTGCGTGGTTCTGTGGGTTTTGGCTCACAAAAGGGAAGAGGAAGCGTGAGTTTTTGATCCTTTACCCTTTGCTTGTCTTTTTGCTCTGACCTGGGAAGGTTCGTTTCTCTGTCTGGCTGGTTCAAGTTTCAGATTAAACTGCGACAGTGGCCTCTATCCTCTCAGAGGACACTTAATCTTGTTACTGGTCCAAACCCCTATGGCTTCTCTGCTAGCCCTTTAAGATGACAGCAGGTCTAATGCTTGGCACCAATTCTTGATCATGTATGTTACAGTTTTTTCATGGAATTTGTGCTACTTTTTATTTCTTTCAGAGCCTGAGAAGGCAACTGGGGCCAACCTAGTTTCAGAACTGCTCCTACCTGACACCAACACCATCAGGGATGAACTGTTCTCACCTCCTCTGCTCCTGACAGTCCGCTTCTCCCCAGGTAACTAAAGGGATAATGAGAAGTTTGTATTTTTACCACTCTCAGAACACTGTCTCTTGAGTTAGTTACCTGTAGGGGGGCTTGCTATCTGAAGTGCTCACTGCTGCTACCGCTGAAATAAGAGATGAAACGTGCCATCACTAGGCTCGTTTCATTTTACACATCCAGTGACAACACTCAGTATTAATGGATGGAGTCAAGGTGACAGAGACTCTGGATTGACTGTACTGGGAATGAAATTCCTTCTAAAATGGACACCCATGAAATAGCATACAAAATAGGTGATGAGCCACTCAATCTGAGAGAGGGCAGCCATAAGATAAGTTCTCGTATTTCTCAAGAGACCAGTATGTGTTTGGGATGCAAAGTTCTGAGATAAAAATGATGTGAAGAAGATGTCTGATTCCAGTTGGGTTGCCATTTGTTCATAACCAGGTCTAGGAGTTTTGGGTCGAGAATGAAGGTGGAGGGGCTGGGGTGATAGCACAGCGGGTAGAGCATTTGCCTTGCATGCGGCTGACCTGGGTTTGATTCCCAGTATCCCATATGGTCCCCCTAGCATCGCCAGGAGTAATTCCTGAGTGCAGAGCCAGGAGTAACCCCTGAGCATCACCAGGTGTGATCAAAAAAGCAAACAAACAAATAAATAAATAAATAAATAAATAATGAAAGTGGAGAGTTAGTTCAAAGGGTAGGATTCCTGCTTTGCAAACAGCTGACCTGGGTTTGATCCCTGGCAGCCCATATGGCTCCAGACCACTGCCAGGAGTGATTCCTGAGCACAAAGCCAGGAGTAATACCTTAGCATTGCCAGGTGTGGTCCCAAAACAAAAGGAAAAGCTCAAAAACAAAAACAAAAAAATGAAACTGGTTGGAAAATAAGATTTATAGCAGTCAATATATATATAACTAACTCAAGAGAGAGAGTATAGAGAACGTAAAGTGATTTGGATTCACAGGTTTTGATTTCCAGCCACCATCCCACCCCAACCCCACCTGGAATCGTGCAGGGTTAATGCAGTGGGAAAGTCCTGACTTTGAAAATTTACATCCACTTAGTTGTAATTTTGTGTCAGGTCTTCTTCTTGACAAGTCAGCCTCAGGGATTTTCTTGGTGAGGATCACATGAAGAAAATCCCTATGGCTGACTTGTCTAAAGGACCAGATAAAAATCTTATGCCAGTTGTCTCTCTGGTTAGGACTGAAGAGATCGGTATTGTTGATGTGTTCTCAGAAGGATTTGGTTAATGTAGCTGTTCTCCAGGATCTCACTTATGATTACTGGAATCATTATGCCCTTGAACCAGGCTAGGACATGTGATACTTCAAGCAAGGCTACTGGGAGTTTCCCAGAAGCCCTTCTGTCACCTTTCTAACTGTGCTGGTGATGCAACTGAGGTACTAGCACTGACAACAGTTTTAGCTAGTCAGCAAAGTGATGCCAGTTGCCCTGGAATGGAGTTTCTCAACCACATTCCATTAATATGTTGTGTTAGAAGTCTTTGTTGTATGTGTAGGGATATCTTGAGTATGGTAGGATGATTGGCATGTATTTTCCAGCTGCCTACTTAATGCCAGTATCAGCTCTTACTGCAGGAATGACAATCAAAGATGTCTCTGTATTCTGCTAAATGTTCCCCGGTGAGAAACTGCCAAAAATTAACAATCACTATTCTAGGAGCTGTCTATCCAGTGATGGGATTTCTTGAGGAACAGAATACAAAATTGCACTTGAGGTTGAATGTGTGTTTTGTACTCATGCTATTATTTACACACACATACATATGTACAATTATTAGGAGACATTATCTCACATAATTATGGAGACCGAGAAGTCCCAAGATTTGCCATCTGTGTTGGAGAACCAGAGAAGCTGATGATGTAGTCTATTCAGGAGAGTCCCAATGAAATAAGATCTTCAGAAGTTAGAGAATTATAAATCCACGTCAAATTCTACTTTCAAACCCTTCTTCCTCAGCTATCCCTTGAAGACCTTAAAGACATGGTCTAGTTCCAGGGAGCCTGGACACTTTCCACTGGTGGTTTGTCTGAGAGTAAACACATTTTTGCATTTCCTACTGTGGTCAAATTGACTGGCCACAGTCAATTTACATTACTGTAAATTAAACATTATTGTTTCTTATCTCTGAGGGTGTTTTAGGACAAGATTAGCGTTTGAACTGATGTGCTCAAGAAATTAGACAGTCTTCCCTTCTCTGCTATGCCTGGGTATCATCCAATATGTTAAGTTACTTGACTGACCAGAACATAGGGTGAAAATGTAGGAATTTAACTCTGTTTTCTTGTCTCATTTTTGAAGTTTGGGCATCTCTCTTTAAGTGCTTTCAGACTAGAATTTTACAATGGGACTGTTCTGAATAGACTCTTCTTGCTCGGTTCAGGCTTTTGTCTTAATGTTCTGATTGAGGCACCCTGGTACTGCTTGGAGAAGTGACTGTGGGGAGGACTATCAATGGTTCAGTGTCATTAAGTGTATTAACATTATGGATTGTTGTACAACAATCATTGCCAAACGTCTCTACAACACTTTCATTTTGTAAAATGGAAACATCTTACCCTGTGCCTAATAAACAATAATTCTAACCCTTCCCCTACCCCAATTCCTGACAACCATCATTCCACTTCTAGTCTCTATTGATTTGTCTACTCTGGGTACTTAATTGGCATCATACCATATCTGTTCTAAATATTATCTTATTTCATTTAGTATAATAGTCCCAAGTTTTATGTTGTAGCTTATGTCAGAATTTCCTCCTTCCTGTTATTATTACTGAAGTTTACAAGAATTTTTTTTACAAGAATTTAAATATATGTTTTAGGGGTAGAGTATTATTCACTATACCTGTCTACCACGAAGATGCTGATATACCCTACCATAGTACCATTTCAGTTCTCTCTTCCACCTTTAGTAAACTCAGTTCTCATAATATAAGGACAAGCTTTTATTGGATATTGTATGTTTCCTTAAGTTCTTAATTTCTTTATTGCTGTAGTTTCTTTATATACCACATATGAGCAAGATCAGCTGGTATTTGATCAGCTGGTATTTCTCCTTCTGGCTTATTTTGCTTAGTGTGGTAATCTCCAATTCTACCCATGTTGCTTTTTTTTTTTTAAAAAAAAGACAAGACTTTATTTTTCTTATAGTTGAGTAATATTCCACTGTGCATGTGTGCCATTGCTTTTAAATCCACTCACCTGTCATGAGCCACTGGGTTGTCTCCAGAATTTGGCTATAGCAAACTGCATATCTATAAAGATAGATGTGCATATATTTTTTCAAATTAGTGTTTTTGTATTCTTTGGATAGGTACCTTGAATTGGAATTACTGGACAATATTGTAGTTCTCATTTTAAATCTTTAAGAAGTTTCTATTCTATTTTCCATAGAGGCTGAAGCAGGTTTATAGTCCCACCTATAATAAATGAGGGTTTCTTGCCCTGTGCGGCACTGACTGGTAGTTTCTGTTTTCTTGTTTGATATAAATAATTTACACTTACTGGCATAAGGTAATATCTCATTGTTGTTTTGATTTATATTTCCCTGAAAATAAATCATAATGTGCAGTTTCTCACATATCTGTTGGCCATCTATATGTAGTCTTGGATATGTCTGTTTGATTCTTCTCTCAGTTTTTAACATGGTTATTTGGCTTTTGTTGTTGGGTTTTGTTCTTTTAATATTGAGGGTATTAGTTCTTTCTTTGCTGAACTTGTATGGCAAGTAAATGTTTTTTCTCACTCAGTTTAATATCTTTTTTTTTTTCTTAGCAAAAGATTTCTTCGCGGTGTAGAAGACTTAGCTTAATTTAGGCCCATTTGTTTAGTATTACTTTTATTTTCCTAGTCAATGAAGTTTAATCACTGAACACAACATTGAAACCAGTATCATGGAATGTTTTGTCTATGTCATCTTCAACATAATTAAGGCCTAGGGTCTACATCTAGGCCTTTAATCCATTTTTTAATGGATTAAAAAATGGATTTAACTATGTGTATGGTATGAAAGTTCCATTCTTTCTTTTATATATAACTAACCAGTTTTCCCATCATCATTTTTTTGGAAAGCTTTTTCTTTTTCCACCTTATGCTCTTGTCTTCTTTGTTCTGAATTGACTGTTCATATATGTGATATTTTATCTCTGGGCTCTCAATTCTCTCCCATTGGTCTAATGTTTGCTCTTATTCTAACACCACAATGCTTTGATTACTATAGCTTTAGTATAGTTTAGGATTTCCTTCCTTTCTAATACTATACATAAGATTTCATTGCACAAAAGCACATCATTTTATTTATTAATTCATCTTGCTTGGATATTTGAATTCTACCTTTAAACTATTGTGAATATGCAGCCTAATTATTGTTAAATGAATATCTCTGTGAGTTCCTGAATTTAGTTCTTTTGTGGATATACCTTAAAGTAGAATTGCTAAATCATATAATAATTTAAATTTTAATTTTTTAGGAATTATAAGACTGTTATTTATACTGTTATTATAGTTTTACTTTCTAATATAGAAATAGTGGTTATAATAATAGTATAGGGGGGCCCAACTTCTCCACAACCTCAGTCAGTTATTATCATTTTATAGTAATCATTTTAAAGGAGATGGAATAGTATCTTATAGTAAGGGGTTTTGGGCTGAGGTTGGACTAGACTCGGTGGTGTTCAGGGTTTACTCTTAGCTCTGTTCTCTGAGATCACTCCTGGTAGTGTTCGAGTGACCATATGTGTTGCCAGAAATAGAATCCTGCTTGGCCATGTACAGAGCAAGTGTCTAATCCATGTTCTATCATTCCATCTCGGATTTGTGTTTTCTTTCTTTTTTATAAAAATATGACCTTTTAAATTTTAGCATGATGATTTACAATACTGTTAGTGGTAGTGTTCTTGCGTAAAACATTCCACAGCCCCCCCAACCATAGTGTTATTTTCCTCTGTCATTGTCCCAGTGTTCCACCAAACCCCTCATTCTAC